TCAGATTGTATCTAACAAGATCAGTTCTCTGTGTTCTTTATTACTCGAAGGTATGTCTCCTAGCTCCATCATAAATTGGCCATGTACACTCACACCAGGCACTTAACCTGTCTGGACTGTGGCTTCTTTTAATAACATGAATAACATAATTCAATTATATGAATGAATAACAGGGTAATTTCTAATGTTCCTTTTTGCTCACATACAATTATGTAATACAGAAATGGATCTTTATACATTATTACTATAATATGTTTAGTGGTACATTAAAATTTTTCTTTCTTTTTTGGTTGGGCTTGAGATTGAACCTAGGGCCTTGTGCATGCTAGGCAAGTACGCAACAGAACTATATCCCTAGCCCCCCAAATTGGATTAATTTTAAAAACAAAAACACATAAAGCTGAACATTTCTTTATGGTAATTTAGTACCAATAAATGGCATTTAAGTTTATATATAACCATTCTTTTACGTAAGTGAAGACATTTTTACACTTATTTTTTAAAAATATTTTTAGTTGCAGATGGACATAATACATTTATTTTATTTATTTTTATGTGGTGCTGAGGATTGAACCCAGTGTTGCAAACATGCTAGGCAAGCTCTCCACTACTGGGGCACAACACCAACCCCCACACTAATTTTTTTATACTTACAAAAACTGCATGATGTAAGAATTGGTTCAGTGGTAGAGTGTTCATCTAGCATACCCAAAGCACCCAGGGTTCAATCCCCAAAAAGAAAAGAAAAAGTAATTGATAATATGTGGACAATCAGCCCTCCAACCAACTTTAGATAGAAAATGTTCAGAAAAAAATTGCATCGGGGCAGGCAAGATGGCACATATCTGTTATCCCAGTGATTCAGAGGCTGAGGCAGGAGGATCTCAAGTTCCAGGGCAGCCTCAGTAATTTAGCAAAGCCTTAAGCAATTTACAGAAACATTGTCTTTAAAAGTGGGTTGGGGGGCTGGAGAAGTAACTCAGTGGTAGAGACATCCTGGCTTCAATCTCCAGTACCAAAAACCAGAACAATGATAACCTTGCATTTGTACAAATTTTCTTTCCTTGTCATTATACCCTAAACAATACAGTACAACAATTATTTACTTAGCATTTACACTATATTAGGTGTTGCACTTGACCCTTGAACAAAATGGATTTGAACTGTGGGGTCCACCTATATGCAGGTTTTTTAATGTTTATTTTTTGAGATTTGTGGCTTAAATTAAAAACAAAACAAAACTGTGTAGTCTAGAAATACACACACACACACACATATGGTAGGTATGTCCTGAATTCATAAGATATACATAGATAATAGCCTATTTTTTAAAATATTTATTTATTTTTTTAGTTTTCGGCAGACAACAACATCTTTGTTTGTATGTGGTGCTGAGGATCGAACCCGGGCGGCACGCATGCCAGGCAAGCGCGCTACCACTTGAGCCACATCCCCAGCCCCCAATAGCCTGTTTTTTTAAACCATTTCCTACCATAAAATACAAATCTAAAACAATTAGCTTATTAAAACTTATGCAAATACACATACATTGTGCCATTGAGTCAAAGGGAATGTAAACACACATAAGGATGCAGTATTAAATAACTGTAAAATTAACTGCAGTACATACTGTATTACTATAATAATTTCAGTCACCTCCTGCTGCTATTGAAGCAAGCTCAAGTATTGTACCTGCTTAAAATCATAGGATGTTAGTAATATTATATCCAGTACACTGTACCTTTCAGTAAAAAGTGATCTCTCATGGTTCTCCTGTAATTTTCACTGTATACAAAACATGATATACAAAATATTTATTAACTGTTTGTTATTGGTAAGGCTTCCAACAGCAAGCTGTTAGTAGTTAGGTTTGGGGAAAGTCAAAAGTTATATGTGGATTTTCAGTTGCAACAAAGGAGCTACCCCTTTATTGTTCAAGGGTCAACTATATAAGTAATCTTGAGATGACGTGAATGTGGGAGGACTAATAAGTCATAGGCGAATATACCATTTTATGTAAGGGATTTGTGTATGGGAGAATTTGGATATCTGTTGGAATCCTGGAGCCAATGAAGAGACCAAAGGGCAACTTTTCTGTTTTAGAGTTTGAGCTCTAAATTCAGCTAAATTGGAGTTCAAATCCTGACAGTGGTATTAACTGATGGGATGACTTTTCAATAACTTAACTCTATCTATAAAATAAGTAATTCAGTACCTACATCAGCAGATTAAGATAGTTTTATTGTCATTTTTCATAGACATGAGAAATAATTTACTTCCTTAAATTTGCAAAATTGATGGAATTGATACTAGAACAAAGATATCCTAATTCTAGTAAACCAACCAACAAAAAAACCACTTTACTGTTAGATATATTTACTTCATAACAAAACATTAACATGATTATGTTTGATAACTGAGGTCACAATCGTCAAAATATTAAAATTGAAATAATTCAAAGGCCCTGCTGATTTTGTACCTGGCAGTTGGATTAGCAAAACTGGAATTTTACTTGCCTCTTGAAACCTGATTCTCATTAGTGACTATTAATATCATTGAAAAGATATAAAATGGATATTCCTTACAGTCTTAAATGTCCCATTTTCTCCTTTAAAAAACAGAGTTTCAGTTATATCAATAATTAATATTTTCCTTAAATTTGTTTTATATAAGCAACTGTGACTTTTCAAAACTAAAATACATCAAAAGAATTTTAGGCTGTGGGGACAGATTTCAGTGTTGTTATCAGAAATTCTCAGATGGTATTTGTTTTGTTTTATAGGGATGCTTGTTCAATTATGCAATTATGTATATTTTATATCAATTTAAACATTCATTTGTTCTTTCCCCTGATAATGCTAGAAGGCATTTGGACATATTTTTATGCATTGTTGTTAACAGCTCCAAAATGGAATTCTAAATTCAAGGGAAAAGGATATATAAGGCAAATATTGGTTCTTTACCCAGAAAACTGTTTTTCTACATCCAGTGTAGAATACAATTTTTTTTTTTAATTTTTTGTATGGACACAATATCTTTGTTTTACTTATATATATTTTTTATGTGGTGCTGAGGATCGAACCCAGTGCCTCACACATGCTAGGCAAGTGCTCTACCACTGAGCTACAACCTCAGCCCAATAAAAATTTCTAAGGAATAAAAATCTCTAGATAATCATCACAGCGAGATTTTGTTTTCATATTTTCCAATATAAAAAGATCATTCTATGAAAAAGATTTTGAAGGTAGTTTGAGAATAGACTTCCTCAGTACATGAAGAAATGTTATGACCACTTCCTTCCTCATGGTATTTGAACTCAATAGTATTTATTCTGATACTTCTGTCTCTCCTTCTGCTAGAAATAACGTATAGCTTCATTCTGCCCCTCAATTATCTGCCTGACTTGGACTCAATGTCACTCTTCTTAGATGCCCTTCTTTTTTTTTCTTTTCTTTTTTTTTTTTTAAAGAGAGAGCGAGAGAGATAGAGCGGTACAGAGAGAGAGAATTTTTTTAATATTTATTTTTTAGTTTTTGGCGGACACAACATCTTTGTTTTTTTTGTATGTGGTGCTGAGAATTGAACCCGGGCCGCACGCATGCCAGGTGAGCGCGCTACCGCTTGAGCCACATCCCCAGCCCAAGATGCCCTTCTTTTTAAAAAAATTTTTCTTATAGTTATAGATGGAAAAATGCCTTTATTTTATTCGTTTATTTTTATGTGGTGCTAAGGATCGAACAAAGTGCCTCACACATGCTAAGCAAGCACTCTGCCACTGAGCTGTAGTCTCAGCCCTAAGATGCCCTTCTTAACAGCCAACTTGCTTCCCAGAGCTAATTGCTGCTCCCTTCTCTAAGCCACCTGTCTACCTCAGGCACACAGGACATTGTTGTAGCTTCATTTTTAATGATTATCTCCCATGTAAGAGTGTTATTTTTTTTAAAATGTAGTGTACAAAACATATCTTATACTCTCGTGCTTTTCCCTTTTCTTGTGCCCCAGCAGAGATTCAGGTGTAGAGTAGTTCAACTTTTTCCCTTGAACTGACTTGTTCAATTAGGTATACTAAGCCTATGTTTTGTTGTTGTTTTTGGTGGGGGTGATGGGTATTGAATCTAGGGCCTCACAAATGCTAAGCAGGCCCTCTACCTCTGAGCTAAATGCCTCTAATCCCTAATTTAATCTCTAATTAAAACCTAATTTTAAATTTAGAAAGTTTACTATTAAGTAGTAAGAATAGTAAGAAAAGGAATTCTTTATGAGATGAGGTAAGAGAGCAGTTATCAACATATTATGAACTACATTGCTGTGGCAAACAGCATAAGTAATCCCCTGTGGTCACCTTCTCCCAGTACTTGGAAAGCAGCTCCAGTCTTTTCTCCAAGTGAATCTTAGGAGCAAATGAGTGTACCCACCTCTGTAACACCAGCCTCAACTGGAAGAAAAGGGACCATTGAAAGGCAGACTCCCAATTTTTGAGGAAAAGGAGGAGCAATATGTTATAAGAGGACTGGACCTTCTAGGCTTCTACTGGCCTCTCATATTCTTCCTGTTTAGGGAATAAGACCTAAATTTTTTAGTTACCCAAGGAGAGAAGTTTAGCAGAGATCAGAGACAATCCTTGTTAAGAAACTTGGTCACTTTCATGTTATATCCATCCCAAGGGGAGAATGCCTTATCTGTGAGTGTATCCTGCTACGGAACCAGAAATGAGAATAGATGAGGGATTGGTTATATAAATGCCACTTCTTTTTCCACTGCATCTGATAAATAGGCCTATTTACCTTTACTTTAACCACTTAGTATATACATATTACATTTGGATGAATTAAGAAAGACATTTAAAATAACTGTCCCTTAAAACTCAAAGACCATCCAAAACAGGACTATGAATTCATTTTTGTCCTCTCACAAAGATTATATATATAAATGTCATGTCTGCAGTCTCTGGGATATATATATATGTCAGCAAAAAATGAGAAAAACAATGACATTGTATGTGAATTTTCTGGCTGACTTTATTCAGTTTTTTTTTTCCTCCATTAAAATACACATTAAGAAATGATGTGATAACTGGAGCTCTAGCTCTTGGTATGTATGAAATGAGGACCATATCCTAAGGGTGAAAGGAGGTGGGGTCCTAAGGAAGGTGGAACAAAACCACTATTCAAGCCCTGCACTGCCTCTGGACTTCTACATACAAGAAATTAAACTCCTAATTGGTTCAATCCACTATTAATTTGGCTCTCAACTGCAGCCAAATATAGATGTTGTTTCCCAGGCTTCAACAGGTACATCATTTGAAATGTACTGAATTACAGTCCAATAATGAGACAAAACTGATTCCCGTATACTAAAAGGTTGTAAGTTTGAGGTCTCTGTCTGAGGAATACCAATCCATTAAAGACTGAAGTCACATTTTAAAAAGACATTTGTATTTGGTATACAACATACATAAAGACAAATGCTAATGTTATAAAATTTGTAGAATGTTTAATATACCAAGCAAAAGATTTTGTCTGGAGAATATATTCTTATCTTTACATGAAGTTTGGTTAGGGAAAGAGGAGATTCCTGGTTATCCTGAAATTTGTATGCAATTTCTAAAGGATCTGACATATCTTTAATATGAAGTTCTTCATCTAAAATAACTCAATGAAGTCTTAATAAATTGGCAACATCTACATTTTTTAATGTTCTAAATATGTACAAAGTCTTATTTTCTTATAAACACTACTTGTTTTACCAAAAGGAAATTAGATTTCCATTTCTTTTCTTGTAACATTTTCTATTAATCTTTCTAAAAAGATGCTAACTAAAGAACCCAAGCTTCTCCAATAGAAATAAAAATATGGCCAATTAAGTACTCTAGTTCTAATAATATTCTTTTATAGTATTTCAAAAGCAAATATTAATTCAAACCAATAACTGTAAAAAGAAGTTTAAAAAATCTCAGTTTAATTTCCACAGTCTGTAGGGTAGAGAATACAGGCCACATTTTATTTTATACACACAAAATAAAAACAATGAGTAATATGTTAGCTTTCATGAAGGGTGAAAACCATAAACCTTAATCTAAAAGGCTGCATCTGCATCAGCGTAATCTGATGATTCTCTACCAATTTCATTTACAGAATGCCTCTATATCAAGTCATTATTCACTTTCATGCCCCCACATGGGAAGTGGTAGGGGAATATTTGTAGGAATACAATTTATTGTCTGCACCTCCACTTAGAAGTAGCTGTATAGAAAGAGAGAAAAATACATAAAAACATAAGTACAGTTATTCCATATAATAGCTAAGCCTAAACAATTATTCCATATAATAGCTAAGCCTAAATAACCACTAATAATTTGCTTAAAAAAACAAAACAAAACAGCTAACTAAAGAACCCAAGCTTCTTCAACAGAAATAAAAATATGGCCAATTAAGTACTCTACTTCTAATAATATTCTTTTATAGTATTTAGAAATTAAAGATGAGCAGTTAACTGACATTGAACATTAGCACTTATAGGGACCACTTACAGAAAATTTCACTACTATTTGGGTTGAGTACCCCTAATTCAAAAATCTGCAACTTGGGCTGGGGAGGTAGCTCAGAGAAGAGGGAGGACCTGGGTTCAATCCCCAGTACTAAAACAAATCAAAAGCAGAAATCTATACTTCAGAATACTCCAAAATCCATGTTTTGAGCACAAACATGATGCCACAAGTGGAAAATTCTGCACCTGACCTCATGTGATAGGTCACAGACAAAACAGGCATACCAAAATACATTGTATAAAATTACCTTCAGGATATATATATATGTATATATATATATGAAATAAAAAACGAATTCTGTGTTTAGACTGTGTCCCATTTCCAGGATAACTCATTTATGTGCAGATATTCCAAAATCTGAAAAAAATCTGAACTTTGAAATGCTTTTGGCAGCAGGCATTTCAGATACTCAGCCTGTATGATGATACAGGACACTAAAACATCAAAAATGATCATTTGAATTTGGCTGAGGGACAGTATGCTATTGTACTTTCTACGAAGCTTTTGTCAAGATATGTAATAAAATAGTTTGAAAATTGATACAGTTTTCCTTACTTAAGAAAAACAAAAGGTTTTAAAGGACAGTGCATTAGTTGTTTGCAAATGGATATTGCAAATTATTGAAGTAGCCCTGGGACCTGTATTTAGAAAGAATTCTTAGGCAATAAGACATTATGTGTATACATACAAAATTAAATGGTAATTCTTTAAACACGTTTTATAATTCATATTTATTACATAGGATTTTTGTGACTAGTAAATACTTTGATCCAGTTAGTCTGAAATAGTGAATTTATGGACTTAAAATCTCTCATTAAGAATCTCATGAGAAGGGCTGGAGCTGTGGCTCAGTGGTAGAGCGCTTGCCTAGCATGAATGGGGCCCTGGGTTCGATCCTCAGCACCACATAAAAATAAACAAATAAAATAAAGGTATCCTGTCCACCTACAACTACAAAAAAGTTTTTAAAAAAGACTCATGAGAGGAGCTGGGGTTGTAGCTCAGTAGTAAAGTGCTTATCTGGCACATGTGAGGCACTGGGTTCGATCCTCAGCACCACATAAAAATAAATAAATAAAATAAAGGTGTTGTGTCCATTAAAACTAAAAAAATATAAAGATACTCATGAGAGAAAAGAAATTGCTTCAAAATTTCAAATTTTACTATTATCAGAAAACAAAATAGTTCCTTGAGATGTGAGGTTTTTTTATTGTGGAACAAAATTATAAAATGATATACACTGAAACTAATAACTTTATAAACACAAATACCATATTTATTCTAATAATATAGTCTCCTTTTCACCAAGTAACTAATGAATTCTTACCCCTGTGTCTGTCCAGTCCACACTTAGAACCTTATCTTCATGAGCAGCCAGATCATAGAGAGGAGCCTTACAACTAAAAGAGGAAAATATTAACATGCTATATATATTCACAGGATTAAAACAAACATTTATGAATAATCACGCTTTCCTGAAAATTTTACAGGATTTACCATCCTTGCCTGAATAACCATTTAATCTGAGTCTTAACTCAACCACCTTTACTATTTTTCCTGTATAATCAGCAGACTACAGAGATTTATTACAACAAATATATTCAGGAAAAATATTATTTAGTTTTAAAGATTATTCATAATTAGGCCCATTTCACACTTCCTTCACTATTTTTCTTTTATACCCAAATCGTGGCTTGCTTTTTTTTTTTTTAATATTTATTTTTTAGTTATAGGTGGACACAGTGTCTTTATTTTACTTTATGTGGTGCTGAGGATCAAACCCAGTGCCTCACACATGCTAAGCGAGCACTTTACCTCTGAGCCACAACCCCAGCCCCAAATCGTGGCTTTGTATACACTTTATCTAGTCATTTCTACCCTGATAACTTCTATATTTATATTTTTAGCCCAAACTTCTCCCTTGAGCTACACATGTATATCCAATTGCCTGACAGTTGGATGGGCACAAAAAATTTGAAACAACAAATCAAAACTTCTGATATTCCCTCATATATCAATTAATTGTTCTATCCTTTTCCACCATGGTTAAGTGGCACCATCAATCACCTAACTGCTTAGGCAGAAAATGAGAGCATTATCCTGATTCCAATCTTCACATTGAATCCATAAGATAGTAATCCTGCCTGAGCCATCCTCAACATACACCTAGTACCCAGTTATTTATCTGTAATGCTGCCACCACAGTTCAAGTCACAATTATCTGTGTCTTGAATTATGATAGCCTCTCTGCTTTCATTCTTGCTCCCTTGCTCAAAACCCTCCAAAGCATTCCAATCACATTTAAAATAAAATCCAAACTCATTACCATGTTTTAGCAGGTCACCAGTAGCTGCTTCATGTCCTGCCACTCTCCTCTTTGCTTACTTTACTCCATCAACACTGGCCTTCTTGCTATTTTGCCAATATGCCAAGATTCTTCCACCTTATCTGTTGTTCCCTCTGCTGTGATATGTGCATGGTTCATTCCTTCCCACTATTAGCTCACTACTGCAATATCAGAGGGATCCTCCCCCAAGAAGTGTTCCTTTACTCAGCTACTTTCTTCATAGAACTTACTACTATCATCAGAAATTATGTTAACTGCAATGTAAAATGTTTAAAATGAATATAATAGCTTCTAGGTGTTAACAGGTCATGTATCATAAAACACTATTATAATATATTACAAAGCAGATTTAAGGCCAAAAACAACAACACACAAACAGGCATTTAGTTAATGCATCTTTTCTACTTGTAAAGACATGTAAATAAGTTCTGTATGCAGTTTTTTTGGAGTGCGCTCGCTCATGCTCGCTCGCTCATGCTCGCTCTCTCTTTCATGCTCGCTGTCTCTCTCTCTCCCTCTCTATTATTATTATTATTATTATCATAGCACTAGCCTATAAGTAAAGAAATATACCTTTAACACATAATTATCTTTATATTTTTAATTTTTCTATTAACATAATTTATATTAAGGTTCAAGACAATCTTTCTAAACTATTTTTTCCTGTTTTATAACAAAGTCAGAAAGATAGATTATAAACTGATTTTTGTATTTTTTGATAAAAGATAAAGCAACATGGCATTAGTTTTTTTCAGAATGCTAAAAAACAACATACTAAAAATCCTTTGATTCTAGCTTTTTTAAATATCAGTATTTTTTAATATTAGGTAGTAAAACCAAGAGCTTTTTTTCCTAACCCTTCCAGGCAGTTTTTTTCATTTTATAATAGTAACTGATATCTTTGGTTTATCTAGAATAAAAGCACTTACCTTCTTGTATCCCACAGCTTGACAATGTTATCTAAAGAGCCTGAAATCAGCTGCTGTTCATGAGTAGGAGACCACTTTACGGCTGTGACCCAGCCTGTGTGTGAGGTCAGGGATAGTGACACCAAAGAACCATCTGAACAAAGCAAAAAAGATAACAAGTACTAAATTTTAGAACAGAAAAGTAGGCAGAACAAACCTAAAAAATATTTGGAGAAATCCTTTTTTTTTTTTAACATGCCCTAATATTTATACCACTCACCTTTGGTTCGGGGATCCCACAGTCTTATATGCCTATCTGTGCTTCCAGAAGCTAAACGTTTACAAAGTGGAGAATAGGAAATACAGTTAAACACTTTATTTCCTGTCTGAAAAGGAAAAGAAAAGTACACTTGACTATGATAGACTAAAAGTAAGCATTTCTAGAAGTTTTTGTCACTTAAAATATCAAAGTTAATCAGAGGAGTACCGAAATCCTTACCAAAGTTGACTTAAGACTGCCAGATTCAACATCCCATACTTTAATTGTGTGGTCCCAAGATGCACTGCAGATTTCTTCAGCATCTGACCAGAGTACTGAGGAAATTGATTCTGTATGGCCAGAGAGGGTCACCATGGGAGTCTAGAAATGGAAGATCACCCCCAAAAAAGGGAATAGCATTTTCATTTCAGAGTAATTAGAACAATAGTAGTAGTTATTAACTTCCAAAGCCATATGCCAGGTATTTTTACCAGGTGTTTTAGTTTTGATATCCTGCTCTATTTCTTCTTTGTAACAATCCTCCAAGGTGGATATATCTGTTCTTATTTTATACATGAAGATACTGAAACTGAAATAATTGCCCAACATGATACAGCTTGTAAGTGGCAGACTTGAGTTTAAACCCAAATATATTGTATTCTGACTCTTCCTCATCTGTTCTACTTTTCATTTTAAGCAGTATTAATATTAACACTAATTTAACTCTCTCAATGAATAAACATAATATTAAAGTCCTGTCCCCAAATGGCCCTGAACTGACCCAGTCTTTCCTCTCTTCTCCTATCCTGTAGTTCTCAGAATAACAGTAGAATATGCTGGGAATGTAACATCCTGAGATATGGATGGACTGACCGGAACAGCCTGGGCTCAGTTCCAGCCCCCCCTAGAAACAGGATGTCCTTCAAAGCATTGCCCAGTAGGTCTCATGACCTGTGGATATAAACCCCAAGTGTTGCTGCTTTTTGGGATTCGTCACTGTGGTGAAAGTGGGGCACACTGTTAAGACTCCATCTACCTGGGCAGCTTTCTTGGGAGATTGACTCACAATGGATCCTAGGCTTCTGTTGGCCCTTGCTGCTTCTTTGTAAGTGATAAAATCTATTTCATGTAACTTGTGGCATGTGAATGTGTTCTGTCTCACTGGACTAAAGCAATCAGTAAAACTGCAGTGGATGGAAGTGTATAAACTCTTACTTCTAGTGGTTAGCATAGTGATGATCTTTACTGTCCTCTATGCAGTGGGGTTGGGGGGGGGCTTCCTCGGTTGGGATCTGTTATTAATGAACCTGCTTCACAGTTAGTGAAAAAAATTTTCAGGTCAGAAAGACCTAGGTCTGAGTTGAGGTGCTGCCAATTTCTACATGACTCCTCCAGGTAAATTAATCTCAAAACATTCTTGGCACTCCACTTCCTCAGCATCTTTAAATCCTATTTGTTTTGTTTGTTTGATACCAGGCATTGAACTCAAGGTCTGCTTAACCACTAAGCCAAATCCCCATCCCTTTTTATTTTTTATTTTGAGACAGGGTCTCACTAAGTTGCTTAGAACCTTGCTAAATTGCTGAGGCTGGCCTCAAACTTGGGATTCTACTGCCTCAGGCTCCTGAACTGCTGGGATTATAGGCATGTGCCATCACACCCAGAAGTTCCATTGTTTAATCTTTAAATGATGTCCATTAATGAGTACTCCAAAATCTCTAATGTCTTTTCCAAATTAAAACCCCCAAATTACGTATAGAGCCTATAAGGAATATGTGAGAAAGACAAAAAGAATTCTGGAGTGGGAGGCAGTTGGTCTCCTTTTGTAACTGTTATAGTTAGATTTCTTAAATATAACCTCGTCTGTAACTGGAAGGGTTATGCTAGATCAGGAAATAGACTTTATTAGTAAAATGCCAGAAAATAAATATTTTAGACTTTGCCAGCTACATGCAGTTTCTGTTGCATATTGTTATTTGTTTTTATAATCCCTTAAAAATGTAAAAAACATTTTTATAGCACTATAATATAAAAAGAAGTATACATAATATAAAAAATAAACCCCAAATGGTTGTTGGGCTGTGTTTGTCAATTCCTGGACCAATTATACAAATATTGCTTTTCTGGCTCTAAAATTTTCCTAAAAAAAGTAAAGGAACCTGATAAAGAAGTAGGAATAAGAAAGATAATCAGAAGCTTATAGGATAGAAAATGACAAGGTAGAAAGAAACAACAGGTAAACTATAAATAATAAGCTATCCCATTCTTAGATGGTAAGTCAAAAGAAAGGAAAACTTATGTTCACATAGAAACCTGAACATAAAAAATATTATACTGTTTTATTCATAACTACCTACCTGGAAAACAACCCAACTATCCTTCAACTTACGAATGATTAAACCAACTGTGGTATATCCATATAACAGAATCCTACTCCACATCTAAAAGGGACAAACCAATGATACCCTCAACAACATGAGTGAGTCTCAACTACCTTATATGTTAAACAAAAAGGGCCGATATAAAAGACTATGCACTTTGTTATTCTACTTCTGTGACATTCTAGAAAACTTGTAAAAACAGAGAATAGATCAATGGTAGTGAGGGTATGGAGGTGAAACTACAAAGGGGCAACATGAATTTTGTTGGATGAGAGACCCTTCTGTATCTTGGTTGTATGACTGATCAAAAGCCAAGAGCTGGGTTGGGTGGTAGCTCAGTGGTATAGTGCTTGCCTGCACCTGTAAGGCACCGGGTTTAATCCTCAGCACCACATAAGGAAAAAAAAAAAAAAAAAGCCAAGAGCTATAACCAAAAGAGCATGTTTTATTTTCACTCTGTAATTTTTTTAAAGAAGAAAAGTCAATATTGGTGTTATTACTATAAACAAAGTGAAGCAGAATAGTACCAGAGGGAAAAAAGAATTATAAAGGAAGAAATTTTATGTTAATATATGAAGCAAATGACAACTAAATGATTGACAACATTATTCATATTAATACAATTCAGGTACTGGAACAGAATGCAGAGGTGACTTTCAATATATGTCTTATTTTTAAAAAATCCAAAGTTTTCTATAATTTCTAATTACAGCAACATTTTCACTATAAAAATTAGCACTTTTCTGGCATTATTTCAAACAATAAATTATGAATACATGTATTTAAGCCCTATAGAAAGCTAAATGAAAAACTGAATATACTATTATTTCTCTCAAATGAACAATGGAAGCAATTTTATAAATGCATTCCTCTAAAAATAAAAGGTATTAACACAAGGCAGTGAGTGATATAAAATATCTGTAATTCATACATTCATTAAAGAACATGAGTCTAGAATATATAAAGAACTCTTAAAAATTTAGAAAAAGATAGACAATATACTTCTTTTATTTTTAAATTTTTTTTCTTAGTTGTAGTCAGACACAATACCTTTATTTTATTTATTTTTATGTGGTGCTGAGGATGGAACCCAGGGCCTCGCACGTGCTAGGCAAGCGCTCTACTGCTGAGCCACAATCCCAACCCCAATAAACTTCTTTTAAATGGGCCAAAAGATGAACAAACGTTTCACATTTAAATATCAAAAGGCTAGGGTTTAAATTAAGTTCCACTAAACATCACCAAAAAATGGGTAAAATAATACACTTTTCTTTATTTATTTATTTTATTAGCTACACATGACATTACAATGATCTTGGCAATTCATACATTTGAATCAATTGGGGTATAATTTCTCATTTTTCTGATTAATAATACACTTTTCAAAAAGTAAGTTAATGTGTAGCCAAGTGTAGAGGGTTGCACCTGTAGTCCTAGCTACTAAAGTGAGTTAATATATGTATATGTTACATGGTAAAATAGTCATGGCATTGACCATATCAAGTGCTGGTGGGAATATGGAGTAATTTGAACTTTCATTTACTGTTAAATGAAGTGAAAATTGACATAGCCCATTTTGGAAAACTTTTTGACAGTATCAAACATGCAGAAAGCCAAATATGTGCATACCTTGTGTGACCCAGCAATTCTACTTCTGCACAGTGATCACACACATAATCCCAAAGCCAAGTATAAAAACTTTCTTAGCAGATTATTCATTGTAGCCTCAAATTGGAAATCAACCAAATGTCCATCAAAAGAAGAATTTAAAAATTGTGGTATATGAAATTTAAAAATAGGTAAAACTAACTAAGATGGTATATGTCAGAGGTGATTATCTTTCAGTGTCTATTGACTGTGAAGTAGACTAGAGGGAATTTTCCGGGTGCTGGTAATTCTCCATATTTTGATGTAAGTAGTGATTACTTGGGTATGTACCTTTGTAAAAATTAATTGAGGTGTACATTTAAGCTGTACACTTTACTACATGAATGTCAAACTTAAAAAGAAAGGGAACAAACCTACCTTTTCAATAAGGAATTTTTATAACTTAAGAAATCTTTTTCTACTCAGATACATTCCTTAGAGATTTGATCAGAGAAATACATCAATAGAAATTACCACTGAATGCACTATTTAATTGGTACAGCACTTCCAGCTTTAATTTGTCCTACAAGAGTAAGGAAAATAAGTACTTGCCAGATCTTTCCTTTTGCAATTCAGCAGTATATTTTTAAATGTATTAAGAAGTTCTTCATTACTACTTTCAGTTGGAACCAGTGAGTGTATTGTTTATTGCATCTTAATGAGTTTGATGAATCATTTATGATCAACTTCATTTCTCATTTTCAACAATATTTGTAAGATATCTTATTGGTGACTACAGAAATAAAGTGCAAATATGTGCTTGATTACTGCACATTCATTATAAATATTAGAAAATAAATGAGAAATGTTTTCCTAAACCTTGCTCAGTATTTTCTTCTCATTAAGTATATAAAAACAAAGTAGATCACATTATGACACATATCTTCATAACAAAATAGAATGAATTAAGGATCTGGATGAAAAGTCAAACTCATGGAAGCAAGAGCAGACCTGTGATTATCAGGGGCTGAAGTATAGGAGAAATTGGGAAAAGTTGGTCAAATGGTAAAAATTTTCACTTATGAGGTGAACAAGTTCTGTGAATCTAGTGTATAGCAAGGGTGATGATATATTACTGAGTGCACGCGCGCGTGTGTGTGTAACCATTATTTTACACATTCTGAATGTAGTCAATCTTTATTTGTAAATTGAACATTTTTTTAAGTAAAACAAAATCTGGATGAACTGTTCAAAATCTGGATGAACAGTTCAATTTAATGGGATCTAAAAACTAAATGATAGAGGCAATTTCCAAATTAAACTCCTAGTGAATTAGGAGATATGACTTGCATCCTTAGTAGGAATTATATCCTTACTATGTGAAATAAATAATATTGAAGTCAGGTAATTAGTTGCTTCACTTAACTCTAGTGCAAGATTTAAAAACAAAAGATCCTAATTCAGAGTGTACCATGAAATCAATTACAATAGCTCTATAATCCGCCTACCAAGCTGTAAGCCTAACTCAATGCTACAAAATTCCATGATTCAGATAAATGTAGCAATAGTACAAGGTTTATAAGAAAAATTTACAAATTTACTGAAAGAAAGCTTAATGTTTTTCACCTACTGAAAGCAATCATCTTTTTTTTTTTTCTAGTAGGTTTATAAAGTGAAGAAGATAAAACAAAAGAAAATACAAATAGGAAACGCTGTTCAATTACCACATATTTATTAAGACAGATCTAAGAAATTACAGTCAGTTCTACTACTTACCCTTGTTAGCCCCAATTGTTCTGTTTTCTGTTTCTTTCTTGGTCTATTTGTGGATTCCTCCATTTCATCTTCTTCATCTGTGGGGACTGCATCAGAGAGAACAAGATTTAATATTGGAAAAACGTTGTCAATATTAATTACAAACTGTTTGAAAGAATTTTTTGCATCTCTGGGTATATAGTTTTTCAGTATTATCTAAGTTCATTAGGAAAAGGATTTTTTTTTTTTAATCATTTTGGGAAACAGAAAATTATACATTAAAAAAAAATACCTGGATTACTAATATCCAAAAATAAGAATAAGATCACCATTATGAAAATAAATCACTTTACCATAGCTATGAAAAATTACTTACTATTAGTTCTAGGAGTTACAACCAGATTGTACTTACATTACACAGGAAGTACTAAGATAAACAATGTTAAAATGAGATACATTCAACTATAACGCACCAATGAAAAAATGTGGGGAAAAAATGGACATACATTTCAGTCATCTTTATTCTCCTTGAGTATTTCATTTTTTTGAACAAGGAAAAGTGATACATAGTTATTTTTTGTTTTGTTTTATTTTGGTGATACTGGGGTCAAGCCCAGGGACTCACATGTGCTAACTAGGCAAGTGTTCTACCACTTGATAACTATCATTATGACTGGTATGAGAAGAAATCTCACTATAGTTTTGATCTACATTTCCCTAATTGCTAATGAATGTTGAACATCTTTTCATGTATTTGTTGCCATTTGTATTTCTTTTTGAGAAATATCTGTTTAATTAATTTGCCATTTATTAATTGGGGCTTTTTTTGGTATAAAGTTTTTTGAGCTCTTCATATATTCCAGATATTAATCCTCTATCAGAAGAGTAGCTAGCAAAGATTTTCTCCCATTCTGTAGGTTCTTTCTTCACATTCCAAACTGTTTCCTTTGCTTTGCAAAAGCTTTTTAATTTGATGCTGTCACATTTATTAACTATTGGCATTATTTCCTGAATTTTAGGGGTCCTATTGAGAAAGTCAATGCCAGTGCCTAAGAGCTGGAGTGTTGAGCCTACATCTTTTTCTAGGAATTGCACAGATGGTCTAATTCTGAGGTTTTTGATCCATTTTGAGTTGATTTTTGTGCAGGGTAAGAGATAAGGGTCTAGTTTCATTCTTCTACATATGGACAACCACTTGTCCCAGCTCCATTTGTTAAAAAGGCTGTCATTTCTTCAATGTGTTTTTGGCACCTTTGTCAAGTATCAGATGAGTATAGATATGTGGCATCCCACTTATATTGGCATTCCACACAGATTTGTCTCCGTCATCTATTCCGTACCATGAGTCTGTTTCTGACAGTACCATGCAGTTTTTGTTACTACAGCTCTGCAGTATAGTTTGAAGTCAGGTATTATGATGCCTCCAATATTGCTTTTTTCGGCTTAAAATTGCTTTGGCGATTCTGAGTCTTTAGAATTCCAAATGAATTTTAGGAGTTCCTAGTTCTTCGAAGAATGTAAATTGTATTTTAATAGGGAGTGTATTGAATGTGAATATTTTATGGCCATTTTAACAATATTAATTTTGTCTATTCATGAACATGGGAGGTCTTCCCATGTTCTGTGATCTTCTTTAATTTCTTTCTTCAGTGTTCTATACTTGTTGTTGTAGAGGGCTTTCATCTCCTTGGTTAGATTTATTCCTAGTTTTTTTTGTTTTGTTTTTGACGCTGTTGTGCATGGAATTGTATTCCCGATTTCCTTCTCAGGACATTGTTGTTGGTATACAGGAAAGCTGTTGATGTTTATATGCTGATTTTTTTTAACCTGCTACTTTGCCGAATTCATTTATTAACTCTAGAAGTCTTTTGGTGGAATGTTTTGGATCTTCTAAATGGTATCATCTGCAGAGAGTGATAATTTGACTTTTTCCTTTCCTATTTTTATCACTTTTATTTCCTTCTGTTGCCTAATTGCTCTGCTAGAATTTCTAGGAATATAGTAAATAGCAGTGGTGAGAGTAAAAATTCTTGTCTTGTCCCAGTTTTAAAGGAAATACTTTCAGTTTACCCCCATTTACTATGAGGTTGGCTTTGAGTTTTTCACACAGAACCTTTCTGATGTTTAGTAGGTTCCTTCTATACCTCGTTTCTTCAGTGTTTTTATCATGAATGGGTGCCGAATTTTGTCAAAGGTCTTCTCTGCATCTATTGTTCTTAATTTTGTTTATGTGATGAGTTACATTTATTGATTTGTATCAAACTATCTTTGCATCTCTGGAATAAAACCAACTTGGTAATAATGTATGAACTTAATATGTTGCTGAACATGATTCGCTAATATGTTAAGGAATTTTTGCATCTAAGTTCATCAGGGATATTGGTTTTCTTGCCTTCATGTGTCCTCATCTGGTTTTGGAATAAGAGTGTTACTGGCTTCATAGAATGAATTGGAAGTATTCCAACCCCTTCTGTTTCATGGAATAATGTGAGGTGTACTGGTATTAGTTCTTTTTTAAAGGCTTGATAGAATTCAGCTGAGAATCCACCTGGTCCCGGGCTTTTCTTTGTTGAACACAGTTGTTTTTTGTTGTGGTGCTGGGGATTCAACCCAGGGCCTTGTGCATGCAAGGCAAACATTCTACCACGTGAGCTATCTCCTCAGCCCCCTGGTTTTTGGTTTTTAAAAATCTTTGTTACATATCATCGGACAGGTGGCACACCCAGATTGAAAACTACAGATTTTAATGTTTTGTAACTCTAATGAATATTAATCTGCTTTCCCTAATGTGATTATAAACCCCTAAAAGTGATAGCTAACATATAATATCTCATTTATACAGCTCTATCAAAAAATACCACAAAAGGAAAAATTTCTAAACTAAACTGCTTTCTTCCTCAAATTTGTTTGCTTTCATCATTTTTATAAAATCTACTAAAATGGATCTTATACATAATTATTTAGAACTGGTTAAGTTTTTCTTGATTCCTCTTAATTCTGCTTTCTGAACGGTATGGAGGGTATTATGCTGTAAAACAGCAGTTCCCTCAGAAGTAATATTCTGGTCTTTTTACCTGTGCAATTAATGGTTCTAGTTACAAGATTTTAAAATACAAATATTTGGATGTGTGCTTTTCCTTTTTTTCTTCCCACCAGTATCTCTTATTATCATCAAGACATCGTCCTCTGAGTCTTTCCTCTCCTCCAACTGCTCCTTTTAATCTGTTTTCCAAGTAAGAATATTAACCTTGATATTACCAATTTCATTGAAAAAATTTTTGTTAAAAAGTAGGGCTGGGGATGTGGCTCAAGCGGTAGCGCACTCGCCTGGCATGCATGTGGCCAGGGTTCGATCCTCAGCACCACATACAAACAAAGATGTTGTGTCCGCCGAAAACTAAAAAAAAATAAATATTATTAAAAAAAAAAAAAAAAGTAAACCAGAGGCTGGGGTTGTGGCTCAGTGGTATAGCCCTTGCCTGGCATGTGTGAGGCACTGGGCTCAATCCTCAGCACCACATAAAAAAAATAAACAAAATAAAGTTAAAAAAAACAAAAACAAAAAAACTACACAGAGATTTCATCTTTTTTTTTTTTTTTTAAAGTATACCAGCTTAACTAATAAATTCCTCTATCTCAAAAGTCACTATTTTTTTTTCTCTTTTTCTGCAGTTCTGGGATTGAACCCAGGGCCTTGCAAATTGTAAGCAAGTGCTCTATCACTGAGCTACATCCCCAGACCATTCTTTTTAAAATGACTTAAAGTGAATAAAGATTATTCAAAAGATATTTTTGTTTATTTCCATGTTTCTTAATAAGAGAACTGTGTGAGAATTAAAGTGATCATGTTCCACTGCACCACTGTTGATGCTTGGGGCAATTCAATCTTATCCAATAAATAAGGGAGAGATAGGGTAAAAAACAAAGTCTTAAAACACACAAAAATATTCTAATATGTCACTATAATATATTCCTTTATACATATCCTAAAAAACTCTGTTTATGTTTATGGCAAAACATGGTGTAATAAGTCCTCTCAATTGAATTCTTAAAACATTAATAAGTCAAAATAATAGGAATATTTAATTTACCTGTAGACCAGATCTTTAGCATCTTATCCCAGGAACCACTGCAAAACTGAACAGATAGAGATGAAGGGGAAAAACATGTGATAAAACTCATATTTGCCCTGTTTTTTCTGCTATTTGACTTGAAAACTGACTTTGCTTATTTAATCTCGGTGGAACACAGGCTTTGATATCCTTTACTACCATGGTATCATCTGCCCAGCTTCCTAGTCTCGTGGGACCTGCTGTATTCTTAGTCTCCACAGCAGTCAAGGGAGTTGCCATTATTATGTGCTCTGGTCGTGTTTACTTAGATCAGGGTGAGCAACTGACCTACACTGTACTAGTCATTTTTCCCCCATTTAGAACCTTTAAAAACCCCTATGTTCCAAGAACGGAAGTTTGTCTTTCTTCAGAGACAGAGAATATAGGATTATAAGACCTGGGAAATGTTTACTATCATGTGGAGAAAGCCAATTTTGGGCAAGAGAGAATAAAGTTGACTTAAGAAGACAAGAAGGTGAGGATATGCTAGCCACATTCAGGCTTCCATTCCACTAGCTCCTGAGGCTTAAGTGCATCATCACCTTCCTAATGATATGGTGGTTCACTCTTGTTGGACATCATAGGTCCAATAAGCCTAAACCAGTTTATGATGAGTTTCTGCCTTTTATAGTCAAAAGTCAGTGTATGATTAATTCACCTAAATTTCAAGTCCATAACATGTAAACTTTCTGTATGGCTCAAAATGCAAAATCAAATCTTTACCTTTAAATGTATCAAATGTCCTCTGTTATTCTAACTGGCAAAGAAACATGGAAACACTCTTAAATCCAGAATACTTTTTTCTTTTTAAATATTTTTTTAGTTGTTGATGAACCTTTATTTTATTTATTTATATGTGGTGCTGAGGATTGAACCCAGTGCCTCACACATGCTAGGCAAATGTTCTACCACTGAGCCACAACCCCAGCCCAAATCCACAATACTTTATGTGGCTTAGGAAACTTTCAAATTTTAAAAGGGTTTTTAAAACCTCATAAGTCAATATAGTATTGCTCTTAGGTTTGTGTCCTTTTTAACTAACATTTACCATTTTGTCATGATAAAGAGTACATCAGCATTAATAGTAAAACAAACTCTCTTAACATTATTAATGTATGCTACAGCTCAGATTATTGTTTTAGGTATTTTAAATTGATGACAGCATTTAGTGAAGCTGATTAATTACTATGATTAAAGAAAGAAATTACTTGTTTAACTGACTTCTTAAGTATTTTACAGTTTATTTAAGGTTCTAAACCAGTGCTATCCAGGCTAGGGGAGAAATCTTTATATCTCTTATTGCATGAGTATTTGCTTAGGGTTTCAAATCATATTCTTTAGCCACTGATTGTTGGGAAAGTATATGAATTACGGGGAATTTATATAGAGAAAAAAAGTTTAGTAAAATGTTTAAATTCTACTTTAACAAAGTACTAATAACTTAGTAGTTACTTACTTTAGTTCCTGAGCTATCAACAGCTATAGAATCCACACTTCCAGCATGACCTCTGCAACAGTGTAGGGCTTTCACTTTGTTTTTCTCTACATTCCACTCCCACAAGAGAATGGTCTGATCCATAGAGGCACTCAGTAGTAAGCAAGACAAACTATCTGAAGAAAAGAGAACACAATAACAAGAAACAAATTAGTACAAAATTTATATAATCATGTTCTTAAACTGAAAAATTCAAAATTTTTGGTGGATTTAAAATATAAATGCACATAGGAGGGTTTTAAAAGAAAGTTAATGTATACACCTATAATCTTAGAGACTTGGGAGACTAAGGCTGGAGGATCACAAATTTGAGGCCTGCCTCAGCAACTTAGTGAGATCCTGTCTCAGAATAAAAAAATTGAAAGTGTTGGGAATGTAGCTTCAATTTTAGTATTGCAAAAAGATAAAATAATGATAAAAATAAATTTAAAAAAACAAAGAAATCTAACATGGTATAAAAGGAAAGAATCTTTAAAATTAGAAGATATGCATTTAACACACTCAAGAAACTCAAAAATATATACTACCTAATATAATGTTAGAAAAGATTCACTGCCATCAATTTATGGACTTTTTTAAAAAAAATGTCCTTTTCTTCTTGAACCGTGTTTTTTTTTTTTAAAAAAAAACACTGTGTTTTTGAAAGATCTTATAATAACTATGGCATGAAGCATTTCATACCCATTCTACTCTCCAGTCTTAACCTGCTCTGAAAATGGGATATTTCCAAATTCCTTTCTAGTATTCCTCTTAGTTTCAGCAAAAAGTCCTACCTTTTTTCACCCAGGCCACATCTTTTACAACGTCTGTATGTCCCACAATTGTCATTATTGACTTTCCTTCCAAGGACCAGATTCGAGAAGTCTTATCATAAGAACCAGTCAAGATCCTATAAAGAGGAAAAAAATTCTGTGAACTTAATAAAGAGGCTTTTTCAAGCTCTGAAAATCAGTTATGTTTCTATGGCAACTACAAAATAAATGGTGGAGATTATATTTTTAAATGGTTTTTATTTATTCATTATTTATTTGTTTGTTTATTTTAGTTGTCAATGGACCTTTATTTTATTTATTTACATGTGGTGCTGAGAATCAAACCCAGTGCCTCACACATACTAGGCAAGTGCTCTACCACTGAGCAACAACCCCAGCCCTTAAACGCTTTTTTAATATGAAGATTTTAAAATATATCAGATGTTATATTATATTTTAGAGTTTTCCTGACCTACTAATATAGCAACTGTGAGAACCCTATATTTCACTTTTATTATTATTGAAAATACTAGAAATCCCAGGGAAACTATGCAAATAGTTTATAAAGCCTAATAGTGCTTTGTAATTAACCAGTGAAAAGCATTAAAGAGATAAACAGGGCTGGAGATGTAGCTCAGTGGTAGAACATTTGCCTAGCATGTACAAGGCCCAGGATTCAATCCCAACACCACAAAAAGTAACAAAAGCAAGAAAAAATATTTAAAGTAAAATCAGTAAAAACATGGCTTTGTGTAATAATTCCAGAGACTCATTTTTAAAGGTAAGATCCTCCTATGATTCACTCTTGAGGTAGTCTTCTACAAGTAAGTTCATTACGGATTTACTCTGAGCCATCTATATTTTCTTACTTGACTCAACTGTGCCGACTGTAGCCCTAAATTTTCATGATCTGCATCTTCATGGTAGTAGGCCAGGAGATCTGTGGCTATGAAAGTTACTTTTCTTTTAGGAAATAAATTATATCCCTGGTCGTAAAAGCAACATACTCAAACCCAGTAAATTAAATACTTTAAGACACTTGACTTGTATAAAAAATAAAGGTCACACCTTGAAACAGAAAAGAAACCTACCAATAAATACCAGTTTTCTTTTTGAATACACTGAAGGCAAAGATCTTTCTGTCTGCTGTGATCACTGATACACATATAACAAACTTACTCTGACAAAGAACAGGGAGTTGGAAAAAATATTCATATAGTGGATTTAAAAAGACTTAAGAAAGTAAGAAAAGAGAAGAATATTCATCTATTAGTACCATTCCTCTGCTCCTTTAATTGAACTGATCCAGTCATCATGGAACATGCATTGCTCTGGCTGGGGTGCAGTGTATTTCTCCACATATTCTAGTTCCACAACCTCTTCCTAGTCAGCAAGAAACCAGAAACCAGAAATCAATTGGTGATTTGGTTTTAAAATATTACTATGAAGATAAAGGAACCCCCAACTTAATGTATCTCCTTCATGTTAGTCTTCTTTATAACCCAGAAAATTTGGAGCCACTGAAAGAGTAAAAAACTTTACAAACAGTGTGCTACGAATAATATTAAGAAATATATTTCTTAATATATATGGGGTTGTGGCTCAGCAGTAGAGCACTCACCTTGCACGTGCGAGACACTGGGTTCAATCCTCAGCACCACATAAAAATAAATAAGTGAAATAAAGGTATTGTGTCCACTACAACTAAAAAAATAAATATTAAAAAAAAAAAGAAATAGCCTTGGAAAAATTATGCTAAATGTGGGTGGAAAAACATGAAAAAACTTCAAAATAAAAAAAGATAAAAGCCTACCATTTAATTGGTAGAGTTCCTATTTAGGATGTTGTAATAGTTCTAGAAATGGGCAGTGATGATGGTTGCATAATATTGTAAATGTACCTGATGCCACTAAATTGTGTACTTATATATTTTACCACAATTTTTCAAACCACAAAAATTGTAAAATCAATTGTAAATTATATATTCAATTATAAAAACAATATCAAGGAGGGACTGGGGTTGTAGCTCAGTGGTATAGCGCTTGCCTTGCACGTGTGAGGCACTGGGTTCAATCCTCAGCACCACATTAAAAGAAAAAATAAACAAACAAACAAAATTATTAAAAAAAAATTCCTAAAAAAAAAAAAAAAATACCAAGTCTGAAAATTAAAAGGGGAGGAAGCACAATAAATCACAATAACCTAACAGCCATAGTTTTTATATGTACAAAATTATTTTGTATTGCTGTATTAGTATAAATATATTTGCTACTCCCTTTCTTGGCATTTCTTTCATAAATATGAAGAACATGTTAATTCACCTGCATTTTCTTGAATAACATGTTCTTATAAGAGGTTTCAAAATTAAATATATAGAAACAGAAGTTCTGATTTCACAGAAGAAAACAATAATCAAAACAATCTTGGGGATTAGAGATAGATTCAGACTGCTTCTACAAGGAGTTGCAATATCTGATAATGCTTTAAGCAAAATACAGAAGGTAGTACTTGAACTTACTGATGAGATGTTCTCCAGTTCCATGTGTTTGAACAAGGGCATTCGCAAAAACTGGCCCTTGATAAGGAAATCAAACTCCACATGTTTGTGGAACTCTAAAGAAAATACAGAATAAAATTATTTGCATTCTTAAGGTCTGAAGTATTATTAATAGAGATATACAAGAATCCCCGAAATAAAAACATACACATTAACCCACTGTGGCCTGAGTTTCTCTAGAATTTCTTATAGCACATCAGACAAATGTATTTCAGTAAATCATGTGAATTTAAGAACAATAATACTTTGTTCTGTTGGTATAAGATTTTTCTTACTATTGCTGCTGTAATTGTTGTTGTTTTATTATTATATTATTATTATCATCATTACTGGTATTGGGCACTGAAATTGCATCTTCAAGGTTTTCTTTAATGTGTTACACTATCACCTATGTAGCCAGTAAACTAGCCATATGTAAAGTTTGGTGAGATTTCTAGTTTCATTTTTTTGGCAAGATTATTCGTAGGCATGTATTTCCTCTGCATCATAGGAGGATGCACATAACATTAGTTCTGTCTCTTTTTAAGATGTTATGATCCACCTTTGGACTCAGATGATGTCAGTTGGATCCAAAGCATCATAATGTGCCCTGTCAGCTATTAACCTACTTAATGGCCATAGCAGCTAATGGTAATCACACTTATATCCCTTGTTTCACTTGGAGTCAGGAACTAGTAATCTAATTCTATCATTCTTTCTATACTTGTTAGCTATAATCCTTCTAAAAGAAAAATTCCCTCATCAACTATTTGGTTTGCTGTGTTTTAAAAAATCTTAAATCTGAATCATTTGTATCTTCAACTCAAGAGCAGTTATTGACAATTATTCAATTTATATTATATAAAATTGTCATTTTATATATAAAAATGACAAATATTTAGTCTGTAAGTTCAGAAGTTTATAAATCAGAATTGTTATGCATTCACAATTAAAGTAAAGAACTGGATCAACTGCAAGTGCTACAAGAGGCCAGGAGTAATAGCACACTCCTGTAACCCCAGTGACTCGGGAGAACAAGGCAAAAGGATCACAAGTTTGAGGCCAGCCTCAGCATGTTGTCAAGATCCTGTCTCAAAATAAAAAATAAAAAGGGCTAGGAATGTAGCTCAGTGGTAGAGCATTCCTGAGTTTAATCCCCAATACTGCAAGGAAGTAAACAAAAATGCTACGTGAGTATCTTTGAATCAGAACTGTAACTTGCTAGCAATAAATATATTACAGGCCCTGAATATCCCCAACTTAAAAAAAAGGCTGTTCAAAAACATCTTATCAAACTTCACAAAAAAATTATGGGACTACTTGAAGATGAAGAAGAGGCAAATATCAGGCATAGTTTATAACTCTTATCTACCCATTCTTCCAACTAAGGCATTCCTCTAATAGAAGAGCTGCTTTGCAGCATTGAAAACAACTGAATAAAAACATGCTTGCCTCTACATGGTACTACTTTGACAAATTTTGTTTTTAAAGATTACACTTTATGTGGCACAGTGGTAGTGCATTTGCCTGGCTTGTGTAAGGCACTGGGTTCGATTCTCAGCATCACATTACGAATAAATAAATAAATAAATAAATAAAATAAAGGTTTGTCAACAACTAAGAAAATATTAAAAAAAGAACACTTTATTTTATTTTTCATTTTTTATGTTCAGTTTTCTGTTTTATGTAATGTTCCTTTACTTAAAAAAAAAAAGAACATACTGAAAATTTCAAATGTATAAAAAAGTAGAGAACAATAAGCCCTTAAAGACTTATCATCCAACTTCAACAATTAACAACTCATAGGCAATCTTATTTCATCCATATTTTAATGCTCATTATGCAGCTTAACAGACAACTTATTAGTTCACATATGCTTAGTATTTATCTTTAAAATGTTTTTACTTGATATTCTTGTATGTAAGATTTTTTTTTAAGATGGACACCATATCTTGACTTTATTTATTTTATTTATTTGTATGTGGTGCTGAGGATTGAACCCAGTGCCTCACACATGTGCGAGGTAAGCGCTCTACTGCTGAGCTATAACCCAGTCCCTATATCCATTACATTTGTATGACCTCTGAAAACACATACACACACAAATACCAGTATTATACTGGCATTTTATTATAACATAACACAAATACTCAAATTCAGATACTTTTGTTTTGCTTTGCAGCTAAAGAGATGTGCAGCTTTGAGCTTCACTAGCAAGTGGGACCTAAGCACTGAGACACTTATTTTATGCCTACATAATCCACCCTCCATGTCATGGTGATACTGCCTTGAGTATCTCTGTATCACAACCAGTATACTAAAATCTTTATTCTTAAATTAAAACCACCTTACCTCCATATTGACTTAAAAAGCAAATTAAACAGAAATATTTTTTTTCCTGAGTATTTTTCTTTCAAAGTATCATGCAGCAGGAAAATCTGTATGTTACAATTTATATTACTGTTACAAAATTCATATATTGAGCCAAATAAATAAAAACGTATCTTAGTGTAGCTATTAGTACTATGCCCTCTGAACTTCAAAAGCATATATACCCACCATTTTTGGCCTCCAGCAATTTATTGATGATGTTACTAAGGTCAGCAATTTCAGAGGTGGCAGGAATTGAGAAGGGAACATCATCTACCACATATCTATAAAAAGAAAACAATATGTGAAAATCAAGTCAACAAATATTTTAACAAGTGTGTATTTATTCATTCAACAAACATTTATTGGATAACTACCACACTGAGTAAACAAAATGAATAAAATATGTCTATTCTCTAGTGAGGTTAAAGTCTGGTAATCAAATACAATTAGTTTTGTAAGAACAATGGTATAAATGATAATGGATGCAAAATGAGAGAATAAGAAGTGATAAGTCATTTCAATCAAAGAAAAGGAGTGATGTTGCAAGGTCTGAAAGGATGCCTCAAAATCATTCTTAAGCCACATCTAGAAAAGTGATTTTTGCCAGAGGAGGGAGGAGTAGGCATGAAAAGTACACAAGAAAGTAGGGAGAAGAGCAAAACAATAGCTGGGAATTGTTTCTATATCAGAAAGTGTGATTTTGCTTTAGGCACTGACCAAAGATAAGGCTATGCTAGTTTATGAAATAGCTTTTACTGTTTTGAAAACACAGCATCACTGTAGCAGTCCAAGTTACAGAATATCATCAGAATTTTGTTTAGCTAGATCTTTCTGGGTGTGCAATGGAAACTGGATTAGGGGGGTGGGGATATAGCTCAATTGGGAAAGTGCTTGCCTGGCATGCCTAAGGCCCTGGGTTCAATCCCCAGCACCACAAAAAAATAAAATAAAATAAAAAAGAAACTGGATTAGAGGAACAAAGGAGAAGAAGCAGATTAGGAGACTCATAAGAAAGAATGTGGGAAAATATTTGCAAACATATATCTGATAAGAAGCTTGTAGCTAGAACATACTTAAAATTTGCAAATCTGTAATAAAAAGATAATTTAATTTTTTTTAAATTGGCAAAGGATTTGAATAGATGGTTTTCCATAGAATATATAAAAATGGCCAATAGGCTCAGAAAAGATGTTCACAGTTATCAGAGAAATGCAAATCAAACCATGAAGAAATATCACATGATACTAGGGTTGCTGGAGTGCAGCAGTCTGGCTGGGCACAAATAACCCGGAGGTCACGAGCCACTTGTAGATTCAAGCAGGAACGAACTTTATTCAAGAACCCAAGTGAACTCCCCGGGAAATCAATGGGGGAACTCCCCGGGAAATCAACGGGGAACTCCCCGGGAAATCAACGGGGAACTCCCCGGGAAATCAACGGGGAACTCCGCGAGAACTTAACGGGAACTCCCGAGGTAGCAGGAGCCGCCCTATTGCCGGACAGCAGAGGTCCATATACACAACTGAATACACAGCCTGCCCCAATCCAGCATCATCCAGTTACAGCAATCAGCCATCATCCCAATAATTATACACAGCTTAACTTAACCATCATCATCCGAATGGCTCGCTGGCGCTACACCTCAACCACTCCTTCTGGCAAAATGCCAGGTGCCATCCTGATTTGGTTGTGGCTCTCAACACTGGAGAAAAAAAAACAGCTAATAAAAGATACTGATAAGGTATGGAGAAACTGGAACCCTCATATATAGATGGTTGTAATGTAAAATAATGTAGCTGCCTTGGAAAACAGTCTGACAGTTTCTCAAAAAGTTAAATGTGGAATTACCAAATGAAAACATATGTTCACACAAAAACTTGTAAGTTAATGTTCGCATAAACACTATTCCTAATAGGTGGAAACAACCTAAATGTTTAACAAATGGACATGAATAAAAAATGTGATATATCAATACAATGGAATATTATTTGGTCCTAAGAAGGAAAACATACTATAGCATAGATGAACCATGAAAACAACATAGTAAGTGAAAGAAACCAGTCACAAAGACCATGTATTAGGTGGGGTGTGTAGCTCAGGGGTAGAGCTCTTGTCTAGCATTCTCTAGGCTTTAAGTTTAATTCCCAACACCTAAATAAATAAGCAAATAAGTAAATAATTCCATTTATAAAAAACATCCAGAATAGACAAATCTACAGAAACAAATAGTAGGTCTGTGTTTACCTAGTGGTTGGGGCTGGGATGGTGGGGCGGGGTGAGGATAGCTAAAGGGTGATGAACGTTGACAGAGGTGATGTGGCACAACTGCAAATATGATACTGGTGGTCCTCAAACTACCCTTGGAATAATAATACCTATATATTTACCATGTCCCAGAAAGCAGTTATTCCAAAAAGTAACAAAACATAGAATTAAAATTTTTGCTTCTTCCTTTTACTATTTTGATCAATAAAACAGGGAGGGAAGAATAATGTGATTCTCTTTTACACACGTGCATACACATATACAGTGAATGTGAATTTTATATGTGTGTGTGCATATACGTGTGTGTGTGTATATGTATATACACACACACGATATTTACCCATTTATTTCTTTGTTTAAAATACAGTGATCTATTATTATTTCTTACAACTTTCTGTGAATCAACAATTATCTCAATAAAAATGTCAATTAAAAAATACAATGGCAACTGAGCATGGAGGCGAACCCTGCTAAGCAACTCTGTCTCTAAATAAAATACAAAATAAGGCTGGGGATGTGGCTCAGTGGTTGAGTGCCCCTGAGTTCCACCCCTAGTACCCCCCCCCAAAAAAATAATAATAATGACAGTGGCTATGCTAGTGCATTATCACATTCCTTGAGAAATATTAAGGCTAAGTATATAAATTAATGTTCATTAATGATATGATTTATATATACTGTGAACAATATAAGAGTGAAAATGAGGGGCTGGGATTATGGCTCAGTGGTAGAGTGCTTGCCTCCCACGTGAGAGGCCCTGGGTTCGATCCTCAGCACCACATAAAAATAAATAAATAAATAAAGGTATTGTGTCCAACTACAACTAAAAAAAAAATAAATAAATATTAAAAAAACAAAAAAAGAGTGAAAATGATTTAAAGGTTAACTCATAAAAGTTATAAACACTAAATCAAAGGTATAATCTTAATTCAAGAGGGAGATTTCTAAATTATGCCTGACATTAGCATAATACAACAAACATATGTATATACATATATATATCATTTATCATTAGCACCAGAAAAATTTGACCAACATTGTTGACTCAGTCAACCCAAGAAGTTTAAGACATGGTTTCTGCATTTAAGGGACTTACAATATTAATAGTGCAACATACACCACAAGGTAGTACATAAGTAGATTTCAAATATGTTCTACAAATCTAGGAATCATTGGTAAAAATCGCTTTGTACACACAGGCGCACACACACAAAAATCAATGGTAAATGTTTGTATATAAATGATATTTACACACACGTAAGTACATTTTATAAAAAGAGTATAGCATACAACACAATATACACTGAATTGACTTCAGTTCTACCAACCCTCAGAGATCCACTTTCTACCCTGGTTTATAAAAGCATTTTCTATCACCTACTTAAAAAGAAAATAAAAAACAAGGAAGAACAGTAGAAGAAAGAGACCAAGGGGAAGGAGGAGGGGAGAGAAAGGGGAAATAATGGAGAATGATATCGGACAAATTATATTTTTATATTGTGTGCATGAAGAAATAATGTAACAACGAATCTCACCACTAGGTACCATTATAATACATCAATCAGAAACATAGGGGGGAAAAAGGCAGTTATGTTTTCAGAAGCTGTGAAACACCACTAGCAGCCAGCTTGTAACGACACGGCCCTTTTGTTCACTGTTCAAATTATGCATATGGTGTGCATCATTCAGAAAGCAAACCCGAAGCCCTTCAGTTTTCTCCATACACAATTCAAATTATATGGAGCCCAGGAAGCGAGCAGGAAGGAGGTGATCTTGGAGACCCTCTGAGAGGTTCCTGAGAAACCCTTGCAAGGCATCACTTCTGAGGAGACCAGGGGCTCAAGTTAGGAGAACAGCAGGAACAAAGGGAAAAAACGGTGGCGGGGAGTAGCTGACAGCAAAGACAATGACAATCAGGGAAAAACAAGAACACAAGGTCGTGCCTGGGAAAGAGGCTAGTCCCCACGTCTGGGCCGCTTACTTACTTCTTGTTGTCAGTGTAGAAGCGTGTCTGGAGCTGAGCCATGGCGAGAAGACTTGCCCTCGAAAACGTATGAGTTAGCAGTCAAACAAGAGGTGCTCTTTAACCTCTTAATACTACAAAAAGAGATAATTAAAATTAGTCTGCACGGGTAGGCGTGAACTGCGGTTCAAGCCTGATTTCGGCTTGCTTCCCCCGGGTTTCCTCAGCAGAAGGCACCACGAGGTTCACCTTCCACACAGGCCCAGCCCGCAAACATCAAATACCTATTCCTAGATTTAGGAATCACCGATTGGTAAAGCACAATCTTAAAAGCAGAGTGCCCCCTTAATCTTTTTTTAGATTTCTTCCCATACCTTTAGGCTGTGATCGATTAGGAAGCTTGAGAAATTTCCAACTCAAATCTGTATTTTAAAATAAAACACTATCGTTAGACTGGATACTTCAAACGCAATTGTGAGATACTACAATTCCCAGGAAGCAGCGCGTCTGAAACGCTGTGACCACTGGGAACTGTAGTCTTGTTACGCTGTATCAAGATCTCTTATTTGCATTAAATCCTCCTGACTCCAGCCAGATGTTTATTAAACTTCCTCTAGTTGACTAAGGTCTTGCCAAGTTCCTTTTCTTATGTAAGTTCTGAACCACAACCTGACCCACCCATGACTTTTCCCGAGTTCTCACCACTAGCCTCGGGTTCGCCAAGGCGGAAATACGAAAAAAATAACGTTCTGAAAAGAAACCCGCGACGGTGGCCGATAGTGGTCTCACCGCGTGGGACCGCACTGCACCTCCCAGAGAGGTGCGCCTGCGCATTGTGCTGGTCTCCATGGCGGGGCCTCGGAGCCAAGACGAGGTTGAGTAGACTCGTTTTGAATTTTCTCCCCCTCTGCTCCGGCGGACTTCCCTCCTCGCCTTGTGGGGCTTTCGGCGGCGGCAGGGCTGGGGAACTAGAGGTTTGGCAGAGTCATCTGCGCTGACGGACTGGATGCTACCTCCCAACCCCCCTTTCTACCTCCTCGCGTCACCTCCTGACCCGCCCGGGCTGGTAGCAACTGCTGGCCCCCGCCCCTGCCGCAGCCGGGCACTGACGGCGCCCTTCATTCTCTTTCTCGGGGCTTTTTCCGGGCCCTCCTAGCTAGGCCCACTACCACGGGCCCGGGAGGGGGCTCGCGGGCCCCAGGGAGGCAGACTGGAGAAGGAGGAGGTTAGGTGTCTTGAGGGTTGCAAAGCCCCAAAACGAGCCATCACTGCCAAGGACCCGCGCCCCTTTGGCGGGAGCGCCCTGCGCGTGGTCTCCCACGCTCTCTTGCGTCCGGCTTTTAAGCGTCTCCCCTCCCCACTTTCTCAGCCTTTTTATACCTTGTGTTTAGAAGAAGAAAAGCTTCTGCCCACACCTTCTCCCCCTGGCTTTTTTACTTTTTGTTTTGAAGTTACCCAAAGCCTTGACTTGGTCGCAATGATCCCAGTAATTACTCTAGTTCAATATAGTTGTTTCTCTGAGGTAGGCTGGATGGAGATGATACTCTCCAGTTCCCAAAGTCACATTTTAAGGCATTCGCCAGCAAAGCTCCAAGAGGGGGTCTTCAAGAGAGAACAGTTTAGGATCAGGCAGAACTGGATTGCAAAATTTGTGGGCGGAACGGTATGTGTGCTGGTGAAGAAAACTAAAGCTTTCCTCTACGTTACTTAAAGATGTATTAGATTAAGTAGACGCCGAATATTTAAATCAGCTGTAGGAAATTAGAAGTAATTTAAACAGTTGGGAGTGAAATATAATCTTTTATTGGAGAGCAATGGCAATAAAACCACGACTATTTTCAGCTTACTCACTTTTATAAAATATGTACCCTGGAACCAGAATGCCTGGGTTCCATCCTGACTGGTACTTAACTAACCTCTCTGTGCCACGTTTTAGTCAACTGAATGAATTAAGATGCCATATAAATTCTCAGTAAATATTAATATCATATTATGCATTCAAGTTTAACTAGAAGCTTTGCGTATGTGAGCAAATGAGAGAGATAGCCACTTGGATGGAGGAATAAAATGAGAAAACCTTTACAGAAGTCCCAGAAAAACACTTGTTATGATTGAGCTTGTAATGATGTGGATTTACACGTTAAATAAGTTGAGGTATCTGAAGCTTGAAACACTTTCTTAACTGAAATCTTGTGGTATTTGTTAGTAACATCATTAGTTAAAATATCTTGGAAATTTTAAACTGTCATTAATCTGAAATTCAGCAAATTAAGAATAATAACTGAGCCAAATAATTTGCACTTCGTTTGAATAGAAAAATATGGGGAAGATAAAGAATATCAATATAGAATATTCTTAAGGAAATAAGACTTCGATTTGCAGATTGGAAGTCTTGAAAATTCAGTAAAGTACTTATTTCTATTGAGACTTTAAGGAAAACTTAGCTAATAAGTGTTGCAAAAATAACTGAATACCCCATATGATGTTTTGGGTTTTCTTTCAGCAGTGATTTATGTGTCATGTTTGATGTCACCTCCAAACAGTACCTAACATAGCTAATACTTTTGCTTTGAATGTTTTTCTTAATATCATTTAGTACATTAATGGCAAGCTTTGGGTTCAAAACAATTTCCTATGGAATTAATTTTTTGTAGTCCTCAGACACATTGCTATCTGGAGAACCACAATTTGGAAAATACATGTTTTTCTTTTCTGTCCTATTTGTGTGTGTGGAGGGTCCCCTACTTGGTCGGTTGTAGAATTAAAAGAAATCCTAAGATTTCAAATGGCTTCATCCTTCAGTCATCCTGTTTGGGAGTTTATTCTCAGATCATTGTTTTTAACAGACGAATTTCATTTTATTTATTTACTTAGTTTTGGTACTAGAGATTGAACCCAAAGGTACTTTACCATTGAACCACATTCACCACGCTTTTTATTTTTTTAATTTTTTTAAAAATTATTTTTTGGGGCTGGGGATGTGGCTCAAGCGGTAGCGCGCTCGCGCCTGGCATGCGTGCGGCCCTGGTTGGATCCTCGCACCACATACAAACAAAGATGTTGTGTCCGCCAAATACTAAAAAATAAATATTAAAAAAAATATTTTTTGGTTGTTGTTGGACCTTTATTTTATTTATTCATATGTGGTGCTGAGAATCAAAACCAGTGCCTCACACATGCTAGGCAAGCGCACTTCCACTAAGCTACAACCTCAGCTCAAATTTTTTTCAATTTTGAAACAAGTACTCACTAAGTTGCTTAGGGTCTTGCTAAATTGCTGAGGTTGACCTTGAACTTATGATCCTCCTGCCTCAACCTTCAAGGTTGCTGGGATCACAGGTGTGCACCACTGTGCCCAGCATAACCAATACATTTTAATACACAGAAATCTAAGGGGGAAATTCCACAATAATTAAGTGATAAGACAGTTTTTTTGGAAATTACACCTGAAAAATTACAGTTTAGAACAAATAGAATTGCTGTTGAACAAAATGAAAAAAAATGTTAGTATCCTAAGTTCTTTTCATCTACTATGCATTCACTATGTAAACAATAAAAATGCCTTTCTCTCCATAAATAAAAAACTGAAGCACCAATTTTGTTTTGTTTTGTTTTTGGTACTGAGGATTTCTACTGACCTAAATCTCCAGCCCTTCTTATTAAGTTGCTTAGGATCTCGCCAAATTGCTGAATCTGGCTTTGAACTTGCAGTCCTCCTGCCTCAGCCTCCTGATTCACTGGGTTACATGCACTACCACACTAGGCTCTAGTTTTTTGATATAAGATAAAATCTACTTTTGTAATGTGATATGATAGTATTCTAGATAGCAGTTTGCCAGAAAAAAAATGAATACTGTTTTCTGAAGTCTGATCATTAACTGGCTTAACTCCAAATTTAATAATTTTTTCTTTCTTTTTTTCATCCAATCCCAGTGCTTCTTACTTAAGAAGTAAATTTATAGCGCTGGAATGTGGCTTAGTGGTAAATCACTTGCCTACCAGCATATATGAGACTCTGGGTTAAATTCCCAATACCACCAAAAGGAAGGAAGCAAAAAGAAAGAAGTTTATCAGTACTAGGGTTGGGAGTAAGAGAGAGAAGAGGTTTTAAAGTTTCTTGTGGCTTGGAAAGATAGTCTGTTAGTAAATGTTTTCCTTGAGGAAATAGATGTAAAATATATAAGTTGCTGCAGAGGTCTGTTTCATTTGTTTCTGTAGAGTGAGAGTTGAAATAAAACCATAGTCTGGATTCTTAATTTTAGATAAGAAGACAGGCACAGAGGGGTTAAATCACCTACTCTAAGACACATGTAATTATCTGTAAAGGCAGCATGGTCTTTAGTTCTCTTCAACTGAGAACTACCAAGTGGTTCTACCAAGTGTGGCTGGTAATAGCTACTTTTTCAATAAAACCTGCGTAATGAAATCTAGTAGTTTTATTTATGTATAGAAAAATGAAATATACATTGAATAATTTCTCGTTACAGAGAAAATGCTGCTGTGAAGACACAGTTATAACTTTCACATAAATGAAGCTACAACTGTTATTTAGTGACCCCCAAAAGGAAGAACTTTGGTGAACATGAAAGAACATTCTGGGGGTGGCAGAATGCTTAAGGACTGGAATTTAAACTTGAGCCACTGCCTGAAGGTAATCATTTTATTTTTAATTTAAGTGAAAGCAACAGCTTTATAAGTTAACTATTATCTCTTACATATTAATGAAAAAGTCAAATTATACTTTGTTATAGGCAATTGTTCTATTTATGGTTACCAGTTGGAGAAAAACATTTTATACCTAGTTAATGTTGTTAGTATTTCACTTTTCAAAAACTTTACATTGAATTAATTGGGAATTAGTGATAATAAATTATGCATGTACTGACATCAAGGATAGATGGGGAAATTGGGTATTTTAAATCATTCTGCAGTTGTCAGGACTGAGGAGAGTAGTAGAAATTGTTGGAAGAAATGAGAAGGAATAATACTTTTCACTACAAATTATTTTTCTGAAAGGATGTTCATAAAGTTAGAACTGCTTTTAATCTCTATTTCAACAGTGGATTAGGTATTCATATTTAAACCCATTTTTCTATATGGGAATTGCTTTAAATAGAATTTTCCTTCTATAACCACAGAAAGTTTGTTTAAATTATAATTGCATTTTGCATTCCCATAAGAAAATCAAGTTATTTTTATTTCATTGACAAAATCCAAGTCTGGGCAAAATTTTCAAAAAGTGGTTTGTTTGACAATCTTCCGTTGTCAGTATCACTACCCCTTTACTAGTGTACTTACCTAGGCTATTCATACTTCCTTCAGTCTTCACATTTAGTTCAGGACTGTCAAATCCCTCAAAGTTCTTTCAGTCTATAGTTATAATTGCTTCCTTACCTCCAAATTAAACTCTTCACTCCCTCAGAATAGCTGTTTCCAACTCATCTTAAAAGGAAAAAAAGTTTTTCTTCTATAAATTTATGCAAATTTGAGGCTGGGATTGTGGCTCAGCGGTAGACCCGGGCTCAATCCTCAGCACCACATTAAAAAAAAAAAGCATTGTGCTGTGTCCATCTACACCTAAAAACAATAAATATTAAAAAAAAAAATTATGCAAATTTATTAATGGCTAATGCTCTATCTAAAGTATTTTTAATAGAAAATGTGTTTTAATTCCCATACAAGTTTTATTAATGAAATGTCAGTGAAAAGACAAAAAGGAGATAAGGTGGAAAACATTTTTGAGGGGCTAGCTGTGGGATGGGGCACCTGGAAAGAAACAGAGTAAGCTTTTGCAGTTCTTTTCCCTAAACTGTTTCCAGTTTTTACAATTCCTTCCCAAGTCCACTTCTGAATCTGTTCTACAGAATGTTTTCTCAATGGCTACTGTTAGACCTCTAGCTTTTGGATGAGATCAGACAGATTAGTTTACTGACAGGAGAGCTTTTTTTGTGTTAGGAACTTCCTCTAATAAATTTTTACCAGGAAAAGTTGAAAACAAAAATGAGCAGAGTTTATTTTATTAACCTATCAAAAAAAATGATTTAAAGCTATGGAGTTTTGACTAATAGAGGAAGGTGGGTGCTTTGTCTATGACTTCAAAAGATGGGCTTTGGAGTCAACACATATAGTTTGAGTTCTTTGTTACTTCTTAAATATAATCTTGGGAAATTTACTTAACTTGCCTGAATATTATATGCAAATTGGAGCAAGTAACTGAATCAAGGATATTTTAAAGGTTTAAATAAAATGATACAGGTAAAACACTTTTAACATAGTGCCATATTATGGATAATCTTCTAAAATTTGAACAGTGAGCCTCAATAAAAGGATTATAATAATAGGTCTTCCATCATAGGATAGTAGAATGGTAATAATTCTACCTAATAATTATTAAGCATAGAGATATTCAGGTAATATTAAACTATTTTATAGCTATGGTAATTAAATTCATAATTGCTGTTGACCTACCACACTACTGTTTATGTTTAAAAATCAAAATAAAGAGCTCCCTAGAATATTAAGAAATTTTTAATCTTAATGTCATCATGTTTAGACAGTATGTCAATATACTTGATTTATTTTAGAAAAGTTTAATTGTATCCAAATTGTATGCTAGACAATTTACTTTAGAAAGTTGAATTGTATTCTTGACAAATATTTCAGTTTTAATAAGTTCTTCAGTAGAACTTCATTTTCATTTGAATCTAACTTTGTAAAAGTTTTCTCTTAAAATAGAACTCTCTTATTTTTCTGCTCAGTGCACATTAAAAGTCAATCAATAAATAATATTTAGGGTTGGGGTCGTGGCTCAGTGGTAGAGTGCTCACCTAGCATGCACAAGGCACTGGGTGTGATCCTCAGAACCACATAAATGTAAAATAAAGATATTGTGTCCACCTAAAACTAAAAAAATAAATATTTTTTAAATAAATAATATTTAAATAAAATATCAGGATAATCAACTATTAGACACAAAAACCTTAAAACTGGCTGGAATTTTGAAGATCACCCATACTAAATTCTGATTTTAAACTGAAATTGAAGTTCAGAGAAGTTAATAATTTGGATTTTTTTCCCCATTAAATCCAGGTCAATTTTATATTCATTCTCTACTACATTTAATGAGATGTGTGAATTTTTTAAATTAAGCAGTAATAATTCAATAGAACTTATTAGTTATTTAAAAGTGTAAAGTTTTTGCAAGTTTTCAAAGATGATGTAGAAGTATGTTTAGAAGTTCATTTAGAAGCTTCATACTAAGACCATTTTTTTTTTGTTTCAGTTTTTCGTACTGGGGATTTAACCTTGGGGCACTTTACTAGTGAGCTACATCCCTGGCCCTTTTTATTTTTTAATTTTCAGACAGGGTCTTACTAAGTTGCTTACAAGGCCTTGCTAACTTGATAAAGCTGGCCTCTAACTTGTGATCCTCCTGTTTTAGCCTCCTGAGCCGCTGGGATTATAGGCAAGTGCCGTTAAGTTTTCATTACATCAGTGAAATGATTAGAATTTTTACCTTCAAAAAACAATGGATTTATTTAGTTTAGATAGGTGAATTTACATATGTAATAAAAAAATGAACATTTATTGAATACTGACAATGTGATGGGATTTATGCCAAGGCCTTTCCATACATTATTTTATTTAATGTTCACAACAACCCTATGAAGTGGATATAATATTATTCCTAGTTTGCAGATGAGAAAACTAAAGCTTAGAATGATTGCCCAACTTGATAACTAAGTGTAAAGCTGAAATTCAGGGCTAGATCAAATGACTACAGAATACTCCAACAGATTTGTGCAGTTTTACTAACTGACCCTTTCACTAAACACTTCTGGTTGGTTGGTTTATTTATTTTTAAGATGGAGTCTCTCTGTTTTTCTCAGGCTGTCCTCAAACTTGTGGGCTCTATCAGCTTCCAGGTTAGCTAACTTGATAAAGTTGGCCTCTAACTTGTGATCCTCCTGGAACTATAGGCTTGTGCCTCCATGTCTGGCTTTTTCTGTTTTTATTTCAAGTTTTAGAAAAAAAAAAAAAAAGTAGTTTTGTGTATACTTGAACTCCAAAATTGTTCAGAGTTTGACAACTTAATCAAAAATTTCAAGATAACTTTAGAGTTTATATATTGTGATTTGCTATTGGCTTTATTTCCCAATCACTCTAATTCCTGTTTTTGTTTTTAATTAAAAGCCTTTATATTTTTTTAACATTGTTTAGGCTTATAGAAAAATTGAGCAAATAATAAGACCCCATCCCCTACCTCACCACAACACACAGCTTCTCTATTATTAACATCTTGCATTAGTATGACACATTTCTTAATTGTCAAACTAATTCTATTGATACATTATTATGAACGAAAGTCTATAGTTTACATTAAAGTTTACTCTGGGCTGGACAGTTTTGTGTATTTTGATAAATACATGATATCATGTATAGTATCATAAAGAATTATTTCAATCACCATAGAAGTCTCCTGTGTTTCACCTATTCATCCGTTTTTCTGCCCCATTTATACACCTAACAACCTCTGTCAACCACTGATCTGTTACAGTGTGTATAGTTTTCCCTTTTCTAGAATGTCATATATTTGGAACCATAATGATATGTAGCCTTTCAAATTGGCTTCTTTCATTTAGAAACAAAAATAGGCATTGAAGTATTCTCTGTGTCTTTTTGTGATTTTATATTTCATTTGTTTTTGGCGGTGCTAGGGATAGAACCTAGGGCCTTCCACATGCTAGGCAGGTGCTATACCAGTAGGTACACCCCCAGCCATTTTTTTTTTAAAGTCACCAAGAAAACCTCCATGGGCTAGGGATAGAGCTCAGCAGTAAAGTACTTACCTCACATGCACAAGGCCTTGGATTCTATCCCCATCACAGAGACAAAAAAAAAGTTTCATTTATGGATATGCCACAGTTTATTTATTCACTCACCTAGTCAAGGACATCTTGCTTTGAAGTTTTAGTAGTTATGAATAAAGCTGCTGTAAATATCTGTGTATGAGCATTTGTGGAATACAAGTTTTCAATTCCTTTGGGTAAATACCTCGTAGTAGAATAGCTAGATTCTATGTGTAGCTTTATGAGAAACTGCAAATTATCTTCCAAGGGATCTGTACCATTCTGCATTCCAGCAGCAATGAATGAGAATTCCTGTTTTTCTGCATCCCATCCTTGCCAGCATTTGATATTGTCAGTTGTTTTATTTTAACCATTCTAATAAAATATAAATGTTAATAATGGCATCTTATTGTTAAGATTTAGTTTGCCATATGCTGTTGGACATCCTCCCATGTGTTTAATTGCCATATGCGTATCTTCTTTGATGAAGTATTTCTTCAGCTCTTTCAACCATTTTAAAAATTGTATTCTTTTTCTTATTGTTTTTATAATTTGTTGTATATTAGGGATACAAATCTTGTATTCTTTTATAAATACTTTCTCTTAGTCTATGGCTCATCTTCTAATTCCTTTGACTTTTTCCCCACTGAAGTCAGAAATTTTTAATTTTAATGAAGTCCAGCTTATCAGTTATTTCTTTCATACAGCTTATCAATTATTTCTTTTATAAATTGTGCCTTTCATGCTATATTTGAAAGTTATTGCCATGCCCAAGATCATCTGGGTTTTCTCTTATATTTCC